GTATGTTACTTTGGAGAAGAGATTTTGCTTTTGTTTCCACAGAAAATGAGAGGCTCTGGATTTATTCAGAGTTAAGAAAAATCACCTTTGACCAAGGGAGGCCACCTGAAAATTCTCCGACAGGAATAGAGGGCCCAGATGACATAGTTCCACATCCAGAACAGATTCAAGACTGCTGCCTGAGATGATCAAGACTCACAGGATACTCCAGTCAGGACTTGATTATAACTCTAAATTTTCTTTAGGTCCCCATTTGATTATCAGCACCCCCAACCAGCAGGAAGTAGCCTGAAATACTACACCCACATTCCCCACAAATGGACTATGGGTATTTTCCTTTGTTTAAAAAAAAAAAAGAGGGAAATGATGTGAGAGAATTGTCTGTATTCTGTCAATCATATTTTAATAAAACGCTGATTGGCCAGGCAGGCAGTATAGGCGGGAAAACCAGACAGGAAGTAGAGGTGATGCAATGAGAATAGAATTCTGGGAAGCAGGAAAGTTCCTCTGCCACTCCTGCACAGACCACCGAAGAGGCAACATGTAAGCTGTCACACTGAGAAAGGTACTGAGCCCATGTGGCTAACGTAGATAAGAATAATGGGGTAACATAAGTTATAAGAGTTAACAAGAAGCCTGACCTAATGGGCCAATCAGCTTTATAACTTATAGAGATCTCTGTGTGATTGGTTTTCTTTGGGGTTTGCCGACTTGTTGGGGTGCCGGGCGGGATAGATACCCCAACAAGCCGGCCCTCGTGTTATACTTTTTGAAAGCTTAGTAGCCTCATTTCTGTATTAGTTCAAGTTACTGGGGCAAAGAAGACTTATAAATCAAAATGCTTGGCCTTAAGTGTATTGCTCAGAACTTGAAATTTTTAAGTAAAACTAGTGGACATTCTCCCAGAAATACTATAGTAAAATATTACTACTCTTATACTGCCCCAGACTCCCCTTAAAACAATGTTTTTTTTGTAAAAGTTACTTTTATTTTATATTTTTTTAATTTGATGCTCATATATAGTATTCCCTTCACTTGTTAAGTTTATGAATCATCTGTCTGTCTGTCTGCCTCTCTCCCTCTTTCTTTCCTTCCTTCTTTCTTTCCTTCCTTTTTTTTGGAGGGGGTGGGGAATTCAAGACAGGGTTTCACTGTGTAGTCCTGGTTGTCCCGGAACAAGCTTTGTAGACCAGGCTGGCCTCAAACTCACAGAGATCTGCCTCCCGCTGCCTCACTAATGCTGGAATTAAAGGTGTGCGCCACCACTACCTGACTAAGTTTGTGAATTTTATAATTTTATTTGATTGGTTTTTAAATTTTCTAGGTTAAGTGAAATGAGGTTTTTAGAAAAGTACTGTTGATAATTTTACTAGCCATTAAAAATATTTTTATTATGAATATATTTATAACACTTAATATCTTTATTATTTGCAGCAAAGACTGAGTATTTCTTTTAATGTGGCGGCGTTAGGATTCAAGCCTCACCAGAAGGCTCCTTTAAGACTTTTGGCCAGGCTGAGATACACAGCTAAAAAAAAAAAGTGCCATCTGTAACTTACAAAAGCGTTTATCATTGTGAAGTTGTGTAGTTGTAAATTAGTGCTTAGAGAGCCCAGT